ACCATATCTGAGCTGGTTCAATTAGCCTCACTCCAGCACTGAATGAGAACAGCCTTCTGTTGGATGAACACTGCATTTCTTCATCCTGACTTACCAAATATTAATGGGCAAAGATGGGGAGCTTCTAAAATACAATTTACTGTAAACTGTATCAGACACAAAGCCTCTTAAAATACTGAGGGTTCCTACCTGCTTTGGCTTGTGCACTGGGTAAATTTCACAGCAGTCCAAAGTTATGATTACAGCCCACAGAAACATACACGACTTAGCAAATACATGCAGGTTAGTTAGCTTAGTGACTGTGCCAGGTGTCTTGCTGATATCAGGTCTCAAATAAAAGATTTTGTTTCCTGGTCAAGCCTACACTGATGGCATTTAAAATGGATCATCAATGGAATCAGTAAGGCTGAAAAGACCTCTAAGATCACCACGTTCAACCATCATCATGCCCACTAGCCCATGCCTCTCAGTACCACATCTCCATGGTTCTCAAACTCTTCCAGGGATGGTGACTACCACCTCCCTGGGCAACCTGTGCCAGTTTTTCCTAATATCCAAACTGAATTTACCCTGGATCAATTTAAGGCCATTCCCTCTTATCCTGTCTCTGTTAACGAAGATAAGAAGCCAATCCCCACCTCACCACGACCTCCTTTCAGGCAGTTGTAGAGTGCAATAACATCTCCCCCGAGCCTCCTCTTCTCCAGACTGAAAAATCTCAGTTCCGTCAGCTGCTCTTCTTAATACTTGTGCTCCAGACCCTTCACAGCTTCATTGCTCTACTCTGGACATGCTAAAGTCATGCAAAAACAGTAAGACACAGAAGTGAAAATCTCTGGGAATCCTAAATCCTGTGATATCTGTAGCTAGGCTGTGCCAAAAGGATTCCCTTTATTAATAAAGAAGGCAATGATGATTTTATAGCTGAAGCAACATCACAATGTCACATTCTGTTTTCTTTCTCTTCCAGCTGGCCAAGAAGTAGCCTGACATCTCTGAGAGGGGTTACAGGCAGCAGGAGAATGGGTTCCTGGTGATAGATCAGCTGCTTTTCTTTTGTGCCTAAGTGGAGGCCCCCAGTGGGGCCGAAGCTGCTTATTTTGTCTGTGTAGTCTGTTGTGCCGCTGCCAAAGCAGGGTCATTCCCTGGGGGAAGTTCAGTGCTGTCCCCATGGAGCTACAGGGCTGAGTAAAGAAACAGAAAACAGGTACGAATTTAAGTGAATTAGGTATGAATTAGGCAGCACTGGTAAATTTTGGCAAAACTCTAGAAAAGATTACCATGTCCCACTCCACAACCCAACTGATAGGCCAGGTTGTCTGGAGCTCCTTCCTCCTCGTCAGAGAGAGGAATGCTAGAACATTCTACTACATCAGCCAAACTCAGGCATACAATGAAGATACAAATGTGACTGTCTGTGTAGTTAGGAGAATAAGAGAGAGAATATAAAAAGTGGTGTGGGAATGTAAAGGCAACTGAAATGCTATAAGGTGAAATAAGAAGTTCCTCACTGTTGCCTTTACGGGAAAATCCAGACCATTTAAACTAGTCTAGGCAACCTAGGTTGCTTGAGGTATCATGCTGAGAAGTAGAACAGCTAGTTTGGATTTCAAGAAAGCATCATTGCTTTTTTTTTTTTTTTTTTTTTTTCCTTTGTATGAATAGGAGCTGAGTTAGAAGAAATACATGAATCATCCCTTGAGCTCGCAATGGAGTTTTCACACGTTTAGAGCTGAGTGAATAGATTAAAACAAGTAATGTCTGCAGAGTTTTCCAAAGAAGAGAAGAGCACTTGATTTTCTGAGTCAGCCCAGTGTATGAAGAAGAAAACGCACGTGTCTTCTTTCCTGAAAGCAAGAGCCAAGGAAGAAACACTTTCCTGCAGTTCCTGGCATCACTCTGCTCCTATACTGCTGAAAGCTGACTCATTCTGCTTCTCCCTGGAAGCACCACTTGCTCAGGTGCTTCTTTTGTCCACCTTCCAGGACTGTTCCTACAGATTATTTTCTGTGCCACAATCTTATTCTGCTATGCCCATCCCTCCCAGGAACCACACCAGCCAGCCCTACTGCCCATCCCCACAGGTGGCTTGTGCCGACAGGAGCCTGTATTTCAGGTGAGAACTACAACAAGACTTCCAAAGACAGAGGAAGGAGTTAATGAATGGCCAACACTAACAACTGGAATAATTTGCTCTATTAAAGGAAGAGAGGATTTTATGCTGTACGTGCCAGTTATACAGAGAGAGACAGACACCATGGCAACAAGCTTGTCAGGCAGCAGCAGGGCACTACTTCAAGATTAACTATCACTGGGGACATCATTAGTGGTGGAGAAACTTCAAAAGCTTTGGTATGCGGGTTCCTTTCGCACCCACAATCTCACTTGCTTTTATGAACTTCATTTGAATTTTCAGCCCATAAGCTTAAGCTGGGATAACAACAGCAGGCTGGGATTTTGGATGCATCCTCAATAAGATGGAAAGGAAAAACATGCTCACAGTATCTCAGCACTTCCAGGCCTGCCAGGTTGTCTGAGCTGTATGGAAATGAAGAAACAACACACAGCATTGAGTCAGGTTCAGTGGGATTGTCTGAAGTGAAGGAATGAAAAGAAGCTTGAAGAGGAGCACACCTTCTGTGCCTACTCACGAGCCATGAATCTGATCATTAGCCTGCAGTGATGCCAGAGTAGAGATCCTTCTGCAAATCTCCCATTCTGAGAGGATGAGCAGGTGGCAGAAAGCTGCATAGATGAGGTTGATTCTTTTTACACTTCTAGCTCAAAGGCAGAATCCCAAATCACAGTGATTGCTTTGCACCTCATGCAGATATTTATGCTGGTGCAAAGCTGGTGTCAGAATCTAATGTAGTAGGAGCTATGCTCATGGGAAGTTCTTCTGTAAACAAGCACAGGACTATTAAAATCAGTCAAATGTTGATCACATTTTAAAGGAACAATACAGAGGACTCAAGTTTTCAACTCACTAGGCTGCAGTGCAGCTGAAAACATTCCTACAGCAAAGAGAAGACAGGCAGGAAAGCTTTGAGGAGCCATTGCAGAGTGTCTGTGGGAGTCTCCTTTCCCCTACTTCATTTGTAAAGTGCTGATCATGCCGTTTAGCAAGGTTTTCGTTGTGACAGGGAATTCATCACAAATTCATGAGCCTTTGTGACTTGCCTACATTATAATTCCCCATGACAGAGGCACTCAAATCTGGCAGGAGCCAGTGGTGCTCCACAGCTCTGATAAGGAAGCATGGCCAAGAAGCAAGGTACAAGAGTACAGGGAGTCTGGATGCCCCAGCCCTGACTCAGCCCACCAAAGCCCACTGCAGTCACCAGAACTGCTGTGAGCTTTTCAGCCAGCAGCATTACAGCTCCATCAAGACAAACTAGCAGAGGTGATGAACACAGACATTTGTTCATCTTACAGCATGAGGGAAATAATGGGACTTTAATCATCTTTCTGCAAATGCACTGAGTGAAAAACAGACGTGTGTTCAATCCAAAAAAAGGCTTATTTTTTTAAGAGTTTGTGTCCAGGATTCAAGTCCTGTCCTCAAAGAACAAATGAAAGAGGAGGTGATTCCTTTGGAGCTGCCTGCTTCCCAAAGATAAAGGAAGATGGAATGCAGCACTCTGTCCATGCAGCACAAGGTGAGAGTCACTGAGATAACTGTCAGAATTATTGTGGTGGGGGCACCTTGTTTGATGTAAGGGGAGAAGAACCGGGAGCGTGCAGTGGATTTCTGTGTATGTATGAGTTTTCCCAGTTCTGTTGAGAAAGGCCTCTCTGTGATCATAATTGGAATGAACTCATGAATAGTGCATGTGAGCAGAAAGCAAATCCAAAGCTGCAAGCTGTTAGCTCACTCTGCTGCATGGCGAGTAAGGAGATGCATTGCATACTCAAGATATAGGGCAGGGAAAGACATGTTCATCTTACCAAACAGGCAGAGCACTCACTAGAAAATTCCCAAAGTTTTTGAGACCCAGCTTGCCCAGGTAGCTCAGCCTTTCAGGCAGCTGGAAGTACCTAGATACTCACTGTAGGTCAGCAGGCAAATGTCTACCACAAGAAGGTGGTGGTGACCCAAGGCAGCTATGTGTATGTCATTATCAGTGATATATGGACAATGACAGCAGGGGAAAACTTACAGTTCTCTACTGGCTGATTTTACTCTGTGTTCTGAACTGGAAAGTACTTATTTCTCTTTAGTGAATACCAATTATTAGAAAGGTAGAGTGAAATACTGCAAAAGGACACGTGGTTGTAGCCAGTACAAACAAGAGATGCTAGAAGATGTCAAAGTGAGGCTTGGGGGCTGTGATAAGGCATATATTCCTGTTTGAAGAAAGAGGAACAAGTCAGTGTGAAGAGAGACCTCTCTCAAACACAGCTCTGGGGAGAGATGGAGACAGAGCCTCAGTCCCATGTCTGCCCTGGAGACACAGCCTTGCATGCCTGCAGCTCCCTAGAAGCGTCAAACAGATGTCTGCTCTGTTAGATCATTATTGGAACTTACAAAAATATTTTCTGTTTGCTATATGGTCGCAAGGTTAACTTGCCTGCATTGCTGGGCTATTACTTGCTCTTTGTAATACCCCAAAATTAAATGCAGAGGTATTTTTTTAAAGGACAAGTGTTTTAGAAGATTTCATGAGCTGTTATCCAGTAACTGTAGGCTTCTTCTGTGAATCATGTGCCACATCAGTGCATCCCTCATACACCCAATCTCCACAACCCCTTACACACATGCTATATTCCTGCCCTACTGCTTGCCTTTATGAGCTTCTGTGCTCCCATCACTCATCTCCTATAACTCCAGACCCCACCTTTAAGCATCAAAATATGCCTATGGACAAGAATTGACAGGAAACAACTTCACATGAAGTAACAAGTCAGACCTTCCCCAACCCATTGGTGCTAAGACAGAATTTGTGACAGTTCAGCATGACACACAGAAATACTCTTTGGGAAGGAGAAGTAATGGAAGGTAGGTTTAGCCTTGCTTGGTTTATTTCTTTGAGGTCTTGTTCAAGAGTATATTTACCTTCTAACTGACAGGAAATCATTTATCGTGGACTAAAATAACTTGCCAGTAATAAAAACAAGTTTCTCTCTCTGCTTTCTGTAGCAGGGAGATGCTGAAGGAGTGATTCTGCGTTCAGAGCTCTCTGCTGAATTCATCGATCTCAACTCAAACCAGTGTGCAGCACAGCCACTGTGGGAGAGGCAGAACAAGGAGTCAGACCATCTGTGAAGCTCATCGTGTGCCACCAGGCACTGCACAAGAGCTCCTGAAGAGCAGGCTTGGAAAAGCCACAACTGTGTTGTAATCTGCTTTATGTGAAGCATCCATCTGCTGTCGAACTTTGGGGAAATTTGTTGCCTGGATTGGCTTCAGACGTTGCAAGCAGGGCCTCTTTTGAGGCATGACCTATTTCTCCAGGGTAAGCTGCATGGTCTTTCAAAAACAGTAGATTTAGCAATGTATACTTTCAGATAGATTTAACTATCTGTGACTGAAGGTCACAGGGCCTCCTAGCCATCTTCCTCCCTTTGAGCCAGTCTTCAGCAGTAAGGACTAATTGGATGGACCTCTTGGGGCCCCTTCCAGCTCTGTTTCCTGAGATATATTTGTATCCTGAAAGGGGAAGGCTCAAGCTGATTGCTTCTATTAGTTTCAACAGGAGAAATTTGCATTAAAAACAATAGGGAAAAAAGAGACCTGGCATCTAGAAAGGTCTCTTCTAATTCTGGCATGTTGTTCAGTTCATTCTCTGCCAGAAAAGAACATTTTCCTGCTGTGTGTTTTCTAATGAAATGACCACTACCTCCAAAAGTAGGCAGTGAAACTCACTGTGTAAGCATCTTCTCAAGAAACCTTAGGTATTTTGAATATATCTTTACTTTTTACTCATATTAGATAAAAAGTCATTTTACTAATTTGGACATGCCTTCTGAACTGACGATCTTTGCCACAAAAACAAAGTTTTCCTTTGAATCACTGTTGCATTTACTATTTGTAGGAGTGATTCTAAAGAAAACAATTATGCAGTCCATTACTATAGCTTAACCACATAGTATGTTAATCTGACCAGCCTCACCTCTGCTAAAGAAAGCCGAACAACTCCACTCTTCTCTTTATCTAGGAGATGAAACACTTCTGCAATGTAGAAAAGAGTAAAATAAAAAAAAAATCATATGTAAACCAGGGAGTTTGGCAAGTCAGACAAAATGTAGAGGGCTGGCCTTTTGCCATGATGTACTGGAAATCTAGACTGGTTCTGTGGGAGCATATTGCAGCTGTTCTTCTTTCCTCTTATGAGTGATTTGTAGGTTGCTTCATGGGGCAGAATAGTTACATCTATAGCAGCAAACTAAGAGTTGGCAGCAGGAGAGCTACAGCATCCAATGCAATAGTATCTGATTTGATATGGCAACAAAGCTGTAAATCGGGCCTGAGTAAGCACCCTAAGGGATAAATGGCACAATTTAGATGGTACAGGTCGGTGGCCAGAGCACTGAACATAGAGTGTAGATAGCTGTAAAGCAGAACAGTACCCTCACACTCTGTGGTCATTCAGACAAAAGGCATTTGCTATTCCTCTTCTGATTTCTCGAACAGACACACTTTTTGCGGCACCCTGCCATTTCCAAGCAATGTGCTACACTCATAGTTAAAAGACACCAAATATTTAGTGGCACCCCAACATTTTCAGGAATTCCCCTTGACTCATAAACAGAGGCACTTACTGAAAAGGGTCTCTAAGCGGATCATGCAGGCCACAAAACCATCAAAATCAATGGTCATCTTGCTGCAGGCGTAGCGGATGGCAATGCTCTGCTGCACCTGGTTGTTGAGCACAAAACCTGAAGGCATGGGAAGTACACAAATCATTAACACACAGCTGATTACTAAGCCATCTTTCATTTGACTTATCCATGGACTGCTGCACCTGGCAGAGCCAGGTAAAGGATGAAAGATGCTTCCTCCCAAAAGATCTACTGGATTCCATCACCCACCTCTGCTGTGGGTCTCTTCCAAAATACATTGCTCTGGGTGAAGAGAGGCATGAAGTTCTCCCATAGCATTTTGTCAAACTGCATATTTTTCATTGTTTCACAACACAAGCAATCCTATATTCCCCAGATAAATCCCTAATTAGCGAGTCTTGGTGCTGCAGCTGAAAAACAGCTATTGCAGTAGAGCCAATTTCTCATGTGACATACTGGCCTGTGTTCAGGTCCATGTCAGTGCTACTTCTGCCTCTGGATCATTCACATAGACTCCACCAAAAAGAAGAGAAATTAAAAAACAGTGCTCCCATAGGTAGGCTGACAAGCACTGTTCCAAAAGTGAATAGCACACAGCAGACTGGATCTGGTTGGGGAATCAGTTTTGCACCTTCTCCACTGTAGAGATCAGTGGTAGAAGGAAATGCAGGAAAATTAAGGTTTGGACAGAACTCTGAAGGGAAACAGTTAGATTAGGAAATAGTGAGGACAGAAATACAGCAAGTAATAATGAGATGGATAAGCAATAACCACAGCATGGACAATAATGTTAGTGTTTCTGCACACAGAACAGATGAGTTTTGATGTACATAACAGCATAAAGGACTACCAGGACAGGAGAACAGCACTTGCAATGCTCTGATTTAGTAGATGAGTGGGAACCAAAGCTGTGAAAAGTCCCTACTGGACTCCTGGTGCTTTTTAGTGGAGAACTGCACCAGCCCTATGGCAACTCCAAGGCTCACCTGCCTCGCTGAGAGCATTTCTCATCTCATGGGAGTCAATGGTACCTGAGAAGTCTCTGTCCACCTTCCTGTAGATTGCCTGCAGCAGAGGAAAGAGGGAATGTGGGAACTCTTAAGTTACGGGCACACAACCTACAACCTCAGGTTTCTGATGGCTGGGATACACTGCCCCTAGCAGCCAAAGCTCTTTGAAATATTAATGAGCAAGGGAAGTCTTTCAAGTAACTACTGGCAAGCAGGGCAGACTGGGAAATTCCTATGGGCTGGCAGCTTGCCTGCTTCCATGTCACATGGTGGCAGACGGGCCATTGAGGAAAATATCCTATCACTTGGCAAACACTGCAACAGATAAAGTCCATTTTTCTTAATATTTCAGACAAGACGACAGATGCTTCCTACTGCCAGTAGGTTTATTATCCAGAATTTGAAATCACCCAGACCTACAGCACAGACTGGAATCGGCTCTCAGGGCTGCCATGCCAACAGCAGCCCCAGAATGGAGGAGAGCTCTCCTCATGGACCTCTGGGACAGATGCTCTGAGTTGACCAGCATCAATCGGGGTAGCAGCAGACTTCCATGAAAGAGATGTTATCGAACAAAGCAGGTACAGATTTGACCTTACTTTAGACTGCTTGATTCTGGGTGAACTTTATGGGATATTATATCTTCTGTCAGGAAAAAAAAAAATCAGCATGACTATAGAACTTAATAATACAAAGACAGGTTTTTGATAGGTCCTAAAAATATGTTTCTTCTGCATGCTGTTGTTCAGCTGGCAAAGTAGCATACCTCAGCAGTGAAGAAACGAGCTCATATGAGCTTTAATACAACAGGCAGCAGAGAGAGCTGCTTTTGCCAGCAACAGAAAGGAGTTAATCTGGTTTTCTGGGTTTTGCAAATAATGGGAACGGTGGGGTTAAGATGAAGGAGGATCTGTTTGTGCCCTTGTAAATCAGAGATATTTCTTTGGCCCCGGAACAAACTCCAACTATACAAGAAGGAAATCTTCCATGTGTATCTTAACCCCTCACATATCTCTGGATCTTTACTTGAGAACTGCGAGAGAAAGAGAGACAGTCAGAAATATTAGATTACCAAATACATCTGAATCTTCATCCAAAGTGTCTTGAATTCTATAAGCCCCAAGGAGCCAGTCCCATTAGTCTTGGAATGTTAAGTAATGATTCAAACATCAGGATTCCTCTATCCTTACCAAAACTGGAGAGCAACCAGTGATTAAAAATAGCTCACCCAACACAGTACAATCTTGATGCAACATAACTTTTCATTCATAATACATCTCCATCTCACACAGACATGCCCACAGCTTTATTTTTGCTAAATGTATGCCAAGAATTTCCAGGATATCTGCAGTCTTGAGGAACGGTATATGGGATTGCTAAATATATTATTTTTTGCAGTTAAGAGCAGGTCAAATTCTTTTGGGAAAAAAAATGACTGGCCTTGTGGTGGACAAGTGTTAGAAACCAGAGGAAGGAACCATGAGCGAGTACATGCTGTGTACTCAGCATGACTACGTCATGAGACCAAAACTAGTGCAACCCTGTCAACATGGCTCTTGGCCCTACTACTTCGCCCTTCCCCTTGCATCAAGGTAGTGCTAGCCAGAAGAGCTGACTACTTTCCCTTGGCTATGCAAAGCTCATCAGCTCCCACATGTCCTACAAGTTATACAGAATTGGGAAGGCTCTCCAGTCTGTCTCTGCTGCTTTGACTTCTGTGTTCTATGAGGAGTACCCAATTTAGAGATGGAAGCTGAACTGTGCTTAAAATCTGCCTCCTGCCAAGCATGCTGTGCATGCATTTGAGACTGCACTGGTGGTGTGCCCAGGCAGAACACTCCTGCTTCTCTTCCCTGCTATTTTTAGGGGAAGGTTTAAGCAAGGAGCGATATAGAGCAGGTGAGAGATCAGCTGACAATGAAATGATTCAGGTTTCTGCCACTCTAAGCTGATAGAGCAGCTTGGCTGAACTTTATGTGCCAGGACAACAGAAACGTAACCTTAGCCTTATCTCATCAAGAAGTTTTGCAAAGGAGTTCCAGAAATTTTAAAGGTGATGACATCCAAAGGATACATCTAAAAGGCTGATCATCTCCCTGCAAGTGTTAATGTTGAATCCATCACTTCTTATATCCTTTCCTGGACAAAAGAGAAGAAAAAGTCAAAGTCAGAAATACTTCTTAGGCAAAATTCTTTTCTGAAGACCATGCTGGAGTTGCTACTTGCCTTAAAATCTTGCCAGCAGAGCAAACGCTCTGCCAGTTCTTCCACCATTTCCTTCCAGCTGATTAACATGGCTTTTTTAAGGCAGGAGTGTTAAAAGGGAACGCTCTGGATTTTGGGAGCGGTGAGCCTCTATCTGTCTACAGAAGGTATACAGCAAAATAAAAATATTTTCCTACAGTGAAAGCAGATGGAGAGTTCCTGCGACCAGGCTGACCAACAATGGTCCTTCCGAGAGGGCAGAAAGAACATGGTGCCTCTGCAGGACAGTGGCAAGCAGCTCTTGGAAGTGGACTACTTCATAGCAGAGGTTCAACAAGCCAGGAGAAATTCATCTGGGACAGAACTGATTTTTTCCATCAGCCTTAGCTGACAAAGCTGGGTTTTGTCAGCACAGATCCTACTTGTGTGCTTAGAGATTGATGTGCAGGTGTCAGTCTGGACCAAAGGGCAACGTTATGCCTCATCATTTCAGCCCTCACCTCTGAGCTGCATTCAGTGTGAATCAAATTTGGTACTTACTCTTTGCCAAAACCCTATTTAGAATAGTTTGAAGTTCAGTCGCAGTCACTTCACAGTCCTGGACAGAAAACACATTTAAAATGTTAAGATAAAAAGCATTTGAAGTGGACTATATTCATTCACTGTCACCCTACTCTAGGGCAAAATCTTTGATTTTTTTCTAACACTACATTTACCTGCTAACATCACATGAAGGAGATCCTCAGAAACCATGAATATTTCCTAGCATTTCAAGTGGGAAACAAGTGGTTTGTTAGGTGCCATGGGGATGTGGCCCAGTAAAAGTTAACTTTTTATCAGATTTGACTGAGCGGGCTCATTGCTCTTGTTCCTTTTTCAGCTGAAAAGATTCAGGAAAGCATTTGAGATTTTTTAGGCTTATGGATACTGCAGTCAAACAATCCTAAAATTCCCATCTCAGAACTCACAAATGCTTTTCTAACTAACAAGATGTTTTCCCCTCGACTGCCACTGGCCACCTGTTCATTAAGAGCACATCTGAAGAGGCAGCCACAGGCTGGCACAGCAGCTTTTGTAGATACAAAAATACAGTAACAGAGAGAAAGTTCAGCCATAGCTTTCTGATTCCTGAGGCTTCTAAACAAAAAGGAAGCAATTGAACAAATAGCCAATTGTTGGAATTATATGCTAACTTCACAGGCAATTTATTTCACCATGGAATAATATTTTTGTAGTTCTTACTCCCATCACCCATATTTTCAAAGTCATTCCATACCCAGTACTGCTGAGTGAACAAATCACATTTTGCACCAATAAGAGGAAAAATGTAGCAGATTTATTCTATTGAATTGAAGCAGTGATTTAATAAAAGGGGAGAACTGCCTGTTTTTTGAAGACCAGACAGAAGAAGGAATTGGCAGGCCAAATATTTGCATAATCATAACAGCTAGAGGTCCCATTTTTTTCCTTTCATTTTAATCCACTTACCTCTCCAGAGAGCTTTTGAAATAGAATCTTGAACTCATCATCTATATCTTTGTTATCAACATGAGGCTAGAGGAAAGAGATGACCAAGATTGTGGTTTACAATATGGTTCTTAAAAGGAGGACATGGATATCATAAAGGAGCTTAACAATACATCCATTGTTAGAGAAAGGGAAAAAGAGAGCTTGCTCCACATAAATATCAAGACAGAAGCATTACTTAAATCCTTAGATCACTCAGTGCCCTCCCCATCTTCTACCTATACTGGATGGAAGGCCATGTTTTATGACAAGTCTGGGTGTGTTCAGTTTTTGTGCCCCATGAGCCCAGGTACATGAAAATGCATGTGAAGCTAAACCATAGAGGCAAGTGAAGAATCTCTGTAATCAAACTCCATTTTCCTGAGCACAAAGTACATAATAGGTGTTGACCTACCATGATCTCAGCCCAAAAATCTCACATCTGTTTTTCCCCATTATGCTTAAGAGATGTCTATTACAAAAAAAGTCTGTCCAGTTAAGGTGCTTACCTCATATGGTTTTGCCGCCACCATATCACCAATCATCCTCAGAAAAACAAACAAACAAATAAATGAAATAACCAGAAATTGTGACTCTACTTCTTGCACTTCAATTCATCAGGAAAACAGACTTTTCTGATATAAAGTGTTACTAAATGCACAGAACAAGTATCCATGTTCCCTGTTTCTGATGTTTCCCATCCCTCCTCTGTCTGTCCTACTTTGCCAATATTTTCTTTGGGAAATCCAGCCTTGCTGTTGTTGTCTGCTATCCAGACTCCTGGTTTCATTTAGTGGCTGCTGCTGATACAATCTTTTATAAAACTATCATTTTACTTTCTTAGAATCATAGAATTGCCTGGGATGGAAAGGACATCAAAGCTCATCTAGTTTCAACCCCCTGCCACGGGCAGGGTTGCCAGCCACTAGTCCAGGCTGCCCAGAGCCACATGCAGCCTGGCCTTAAATGCATCCAGGGAGGGGCATCCACAGCCTCCTTGGGCAACCTGTTCCAGTGCATCAGAACCTTTCTTTGCATCCTTTAATTGTGGGAACTTCCGCTACATCTCATAGACCTGAGGGATCTAGTTACCACTTCAGTACTTGCCAGAGGCCACTTAAAGAGCCAGGTCTTTGTAACATGGATGTGTGTGCCACATATGGTAGACTGTGGAAGAAAACAGGTCCTAGAAATCAGCCTATTTTGCTGTTAAATTGCCAGTAGATAGAGCACAGACTTTTACCTTTATGGGTCTCATCAGCAGAAGAGAAAGCTTTAGATAGAAGATACTCACTGAGTTTTAACCTTTTTCTCAGAAAAAACTCGAAGGCAGAACTCTCCATTTTTGTAAGGCTCAAATGTGGATGGCACAATGAGGTACTCTCCCTTAGGCAGTCTAATGCGGCTGGAGACTTCACGCAGGTTGATGTAAGTCTCAGACCGGGCTACTGGTTGGTTCCTTGTGAAGAAAGCACGGTTCAGATGAATGTCTTTGTTATTTTCCAGCTGTCGGAAACATGTTTTTGTTAGAAACCTTTTGACAGTTCATTGGCAAGTCAGCCATCCTATTTAAATTTCAGTGCTTAAAATCCATCTCAAGTTTTTCTTAGTACCAAATGATAAATCTGGGAGTGATGGCGTAAGAGGTAACCACCAGGGTTATGTCATGTGAAACAGTCAGGCAGGTGATTAGAAGGAGAAAATACCCTTCTCTATAAATATTATCTTTTCACATGCCTCTTTACAATGGGTGGTATAGAATAACTAAAAAGAGTATAATGTGTACTCAAATCTGGTCAAACTATTACCTACTCAAGTTGCCCATGTAATGAATATTTTTTGCTCTCATAGGCTGCTCATGAACAAATTTAAATTTTAAAATGCCTTTCAGCAATTGATGGTATGAGGTAGACTTCCTAATTGCACAGGAGTTACAGTTTCTGATTTCTTTAGACACACAGAAGAGAACAGCAAACAGAACAAAATAGTATCAGAAGGGTAAGACTTGCAGAGCCAAATTAGATGATTAAACCAATTTCTGTTAGTTATACTAAAGGTGTTCCTTTGGAATATGGCAAAAATTGTACTTAATTTTTCTGTAATACCAATATGTTATTAAATGTGAAATGTGGTATAGCTCACAAAACAAAATACTGATATAACAGAAACAGCAGTGTATGAATAACATCTCTTCTTTAAATCTCCTTTTTGTGACTTCTGCTTCATAGAGCTATCTTTCAAAAATTATGATTCAGTGACCCACAGTAATTGCTAAATAGTTGACACAGGATGTAGAACATTGGATGCAGATAAGATTTTTCTCTTAGATCAGAACATACAATGATGCTATCAAAAGCCTTAAAATAATTCAGTATTTTTGTCGTAAACTGTAGAATAAAATGCTTTTTTCCCCTGCTTCATTTAAAAGATAAGATTGGATTTGTTATTTATCCAACCACCCTGTCCTTTCTCCCCATCTATCTTAAGCTAGGATTAGACTGTAAAGATTAAGACGTCAGATCCCATATCTTTTTCAACATATAAAGCTCATTTTCCCTTTGCATCTGCAAGGCTGTTAAAAGAACACAGTTAATTGCTACAGGACCACACATTCATTAACTGAGGGAGAAGAAAAGGGCTGAAAAGCATAGGAAAAATTGGCAGTGCAGAGTATCGGACCTCAGTAATGACTATAGGCTATTCTTACTACCAGACACCCCTGGGGTCTTTTTCTTTAAGAATGAAATTCTCTTTAACTTGTTATTGACATCTAGGAGGATTTGGGAAGGTTGAGCTGTTTGTTGTTTTTTTTTTTTTCATTGCCAGAAGCCCCAGCTCAGAACTATAAAAGGAATGGATCCACAGTCTGGCATTTCTTCTAAAAAATATTAGCTACATTTTCTAAGTTTTAGAGTGCAGAGACTCTGCCTACACCTGTACTAAACAAACAAATTTTTACTTCTGTTGCACAAAATAAGTGGGAGTCAACTTTCAAGAGGTATAAATGAGATCAGGATTAGGATTCAAATGTCTGTAATAAAGCTCTGTGCCCCAGTCCCTTGGAAATAGTTATTTAGAACATGAGATTGTCATCCAGTGATAAAGAAAAGCTGTCGTTAGCAAGGAGCAAATCCTCCTGGTAGCTAGACTGGCACAAGAATTGCCCATCTGGAAGGAAGAAGTGTTCAGCAACGATTGCATACCTCCTGTGGAATCTGAAAGCAAAAGAAAGAGCTGATGTCAAAGGGTTGCTACATAGGCTTTTCTATTATTAGACAGAAAGAGTCAGATAAACTCTCCTTCGAACACTCAGTTTTCATTTCCACTTACTACACACCTTGTAGTATTGGTTACCATGAAGATCTAGGTTGATCTAGAGTAGTACCAAAAGAAAAATGGGACCTTCCTCCAGAGGAATCTACACAATAGAATTGCTTTTCTCCAGATTCGGTGGTGTGAATGATACTATCAGTTGGAAATATTTTAGTAAGCTTTAAAATGTTCAGCCAGGAAAGTCAGCAGGTTGGTTCTGCTATTTTGCTAAATGAAAATGAGCAGACCTAAGATCTACCAACCTGCTGTTATTGGAATGCTGATTAAAATACAAGGCTTCTGTCACCAGCAAGAAGCTTAAGGATGACTGGGATGTTGTAAGGCACCTAAAATAAGTAGCAAAATTCAATGTTTGGCCCTTTCTGTATTAACTAAATACGTGCATTTGTACCTCTGAATATACGGTAGCTTTTTCAAGATCAAATAGTGTTCTCAGGAATACAGATTCCAGTGAAAGCCAAACAGACTGTGCTCAAAAGGCCCAGAAAAGCTGTTTAAAATATCACCCATACAATGCTTCCAGACTGCATGAGATGGTCCTTTGGGTCTTGTTTATTTTATCCAACACAGTAGAAGCTCAGTGATGAGCTACACAACTTAAAAAAGCTTTGCAAGACAGGCAGGGCTGGGCACGCTCATTTTTACCTTGTATAATACAGAGAACTGCTATGTCCTTGGCCACAGCATCAACTGCAGTGATATAAATCTACAGCAGTTCATGACCTGAGAACTTGGATCATAGCTGTGTGCCTACAAGAGATGATTTAGCAGCCATTTCTTTAAAAAGAAAAGCCTCATCTTGTTAAAAGTCACCAAGCCTACTCTACTCTGAAAAAGATCACAGAGGAGGCAGGTGGGATGAAATAGATATAAAGCAAAAATGCACTGCTATCTTCTACAGGGTTGTTTTCAGAGATATGAGTGGACAAACATCCTTCATGCACAAATCCTGGGAAGAAAGTAGACTGGGGTTCTTGACAGTCAACAGCAACTCAGAAAAGTACAAGGTAAGAACCAAAAGTATATGCAAACACTTCAGCCCTAGGGAAAATCCTTCCTAGTTTTGAACCATCCCTCACAAAATACATTAACGAAAGCCAGTGATTCCCATCTGCTCACACCTATGATAGCTAATAATCTTCATCCAGAGAAATCTAGACAGCACTGAATTGCTTTTCTCCAAATATGACATTGAGAAGCATAATACTGGTTGGAAATTCTTGTATGTGCTTATCTGCCCTTACACCACAAAAGTCAGAGACAGCACTACATACTTTTTCCATGTGTTATATCTATGGAGACAGAAGCAATACTGGGAAAATAAGAAAAATAATCTTTAAAAAAGGCCGAAAAAAAAAAAAACAAACCCAAAGCTGAATCAGAACAATAACAACAATAACAGTGTAGACAATGAATCAAAACAATTATCAAATAAAAGGGGAAAAAATAAAGAAAATGACTACTGAGCACAGATGATAGGCTGTAATCAGAACCACTTATCTGGAATTGCCAGGCACCCTGATCCTGTCCCCATTCAGATTTTGAAAGAGAAGGCTCCCATTGAGCCTACTGCTAAATTAATTGCCTCCAGTTTTACACCATTTTCCTGTTAAAACAAGACAAATACTGAGCTAATTTTTTCTGAATCTTCCCATATTATGTTGGTCAGGAAGAGATGAGAGAAGCTTTTCAGCCATCTTGCAAAACCTAGCTCTTACTGAAGTGCAGATCAAATGTCAAGACGAACACACGACAGATTTTTGCCAGGGTAACAGTGAATAAAACCTGCAATGAGGAACAAACTGTACCTGGTAGAGTGAATAACCAATACTAAGCAGACCTTCTCCCATTCTCTTCTGTCTCCTGCGATTCTTCTGCATCAAGCCCACCAATATAGTACAGCATGGCTCATTCAAACCCCCTTCATGATCATCATCTGGTTCATCCAGCCGGATCTTAAACTGGGGATTGATCCAGTACGTTGCTAAAAATCCCCAAGGCAAAACAAGAAGGAGGAGATTTTGTTGTCATTGAAGCCAGAATGGTCATCACTACAATTATAGAGAAAATCTGTTTGGATGGACATTTGCCTGGAGTTTATCCAAACCTTTCTAGTATGTTACATGGTTTTTTGTGTTTCACAGCTATGCTGTATATCAGTTGGAGCCATAGCAAATCAAAACACTGTGGTATTTCCTAGGGTGTAAAAATAAAGAGGGAGGAGCTGATACTGTTAATTCCAGCCAGTCATTTATCTTCAGGAAATGTCCTTGGCTAAGGTTAGTTTTGATTCAGAGGACCAAAAATCAGGCAGCCTCTCCAGAGGTTTAACCTGAAAATGAATGTGAGACAACTCTACTACTGATCTATGATACTTTCCTGGCTTACCCAGCCCTTTGGAGAATTACTCCAGTCAGTAGCAAAAGCCATGTAAGTAGGGAAAGCGCACAAAGGGAAAAAATAAAAAGAATGTGGCCATGAATTAACTGCTCAGTGGGCTGATTATCGCTGACAAGGAAATGAGTGTAAATTAGGTCTTGGCTTAGACTGCCAAACTTTGGCTTGCTCTCTGAACCACACAGAGAGATCTGTACCTCCAAACCCTTCCCAATTACGGCCACCCATAGTTCAAAAAAAGCAGTTATTCTTGTGGTTCTGCTGTTTATTTCACCAAATGGCCACTTGGCTGGATCTCCACCTGGGTAGTTCTGGCAACCTCCAGCTGTTGAACCCCGTATCCACTGTCCATTGAACATGGTCAGGTCCCATTTGTTGACCTGGTTGCTTGTCAGGGTGTCAGGAGTCAGATTGCAGATCTCCAGGCGTGTGAATTGCCTTTGAAAATCAGAAAATGCCATCCTAGAAAACAAAAGATCATGGTTAATTCATCAGCCCATAACAGTCAGAGCAACTGCATGTGGGTGCCTTTCCCAATGAGGAAGAAAATGTTGGTACTACAGAGCTGCCCAAAGCTTCATTTAATTGAACTCTGAGTCTTAGGACCAGCTGTGGGGAAGCAAAATTTCCCACTCCCTGAATGAGCCCTATCTCACGAAGTCAACTGTTCTCAAATGCTGTTACATGTTACAGGCTCAGTGGTACCATTTTCTGTCATCCTCAGTCATGATCAATCCCTCATGGATTGTGCTTTCTAAGTAAACTCAATAAAATTGGTGTACCAAAACATGCAGCAAAATGCTATTAAGTGGGAGCAGGAATTGATCCTTGGGAAAGAGTCACTGCAGAAAAATAATCTCAGTTTGGTATATTGATTTAAAACTTTTGTTGATGTTTATTTTTACCACTTCTAGTAGCCACGTCTGAATAACAGACCTTGATCACTTCATGCTGCAAGCAGAGGTCTGTTCCCAGCCCTCACCGCTTTATGCCCCACACAGCTGATTGTTCTGAAAGATGGCAGGCATTTTTCTTTCTGTTCTAGGACAGAGTGACACATGTTCAGCACTGATCCGCACAATCACCCAGCTTACACTGTCTTTCCATCAGGTTTGGGTAAACAGATTCTTCCCCTGTTGACAATCTAAAGTTTTTCATTAGTGTGTAGCATTCAGGCAAAAAACAAGCCTCAAAATATAAAGCATGTGAGGTTCATTCTTGCCACATCATTAATTTTATTGCCATCTGGTCTCTATATTTTGAGCAGGCACTGAGTTATTCAAGCTCTAATAAAAGGTAATATTTAAATGGGAAGGAAAATAAACAAGAGGCTAACCACCTACATGAATTAACTCAGTGCTATCAGTTTCTCTCCATCCAACTGAAATGACTGCTTAAAAACGATATTTGCACATACAATACCCAAAAGATTGCGCTAATTAATGATGCTCACCAAAATTCTCCATCATCTACTTGCTTATCCAGAGCCTGTTTTTGTTTGGGATCAATATAATTCCATTCAGGAGCACTGCAGACAAAGCACAAAAGCAACCTGCTCAGTTGTATTTCATTCTGCAATGAGGTCAGACAGTGAGCTTCTGTCTTCAGTCACAGATGACAAACTTCTATATATTTCTACAACCACTAGACCTTCTGCCCCTTCCTTCAGCCACACAGGGCTGGAATAAGACTGCAACCAAAACTGCAACAAATAAACCTTGAACAGAGGTGGCAGAAAATACAAATACTGCAGGCTGTCTGGACTGCGTAGCATGCAGCCCAAAAACAGGAAGAACTTCACAATTATCAGAACTATAGAGAAGCCTGTTATTCTCCCTAGGGAAATGACATAAACTCTGCTGCTGGGGTCATCAAAAATATGAAAGCAAAAAGGCAGAATTAGAACAAAATCCTGCAAAAAGCAGCATTGCTTCAGTCCCACTCCAATGTCACTGTGCAGCACGCCAGATTCTGACTTCATCTGCTTCCATGTGGCTGTGCAGTTTGGTATCTGTTTCAGTAAGGTTGTCCCATGGTAAAACAAGTGCAGCAAGACCAGGATATGGTATGTGGGGACAGAGACATGTTATCTTAGGCATGAGCAAAGCAGCTCTGATAAAGATGGGAATAATTACAACATCTAACCATATTTTCTATATCAGCACCAGTACTATGGTCAAGAAAGGAACGTGAGATCTCAAAAAAGTCCTCGCTAAAGATATACCAAGGCCCAAATGAAAGTAAAATACATACTGTTATGAAAATAAAAATAAATGATTTATTGTTTCTGCCATTCGTGTGAGATTCCAAGCCCTGACAGCTTCTGATAGCTATTCAAGCTTCTGATCCTTAGTTGAGTCATCATCTCCTTTTTTTTTCAGAGTTCTCCAGTATAAATCAAGTACTGGCCAGGTTTAGAACTCCAAAACCTCAAAACTGACTTAGAGGCGCAGCAGGGTAGCAATGCAATTGGTTTGCCTGTGCTGCTAAGGTCTTGGTAACAACAATGGGATCTTCTAAGAAAAGTTATCTTGAGAAATGACATGAGTAAAGCTTGCATGGGTTGCAAAGCTTACAACCCACAGTTAAAACATAGCCTGTTCTTTCTCATTAGAAAGCTCCGCCTGAGGCAGAGAAGAATGTCCACTGGGCAGAACAGATCAATATGTAGCCTTGCTAACAAATTAATAGTGTTTTATTCCAATGGATTTACCATCTTTCCTAAATGTGCTTTGTGATTTGATTAAACTGCATAATCTCAATTTAATTTTCAAAGGATACCAAAATACATAGAAGAGGGAAAGGCAGGGGCATATAAACACTTACTTATCACTCCACGCTCCAGTCCATTCTACTTCACCCCAGGGATTTCTAAGCCTCACAAGTTTCTCTATCTGTCCTCGGTAATAGACCTAAAAGATCGACAACAAACAGAACTTCAGCATTCCCATTACTCCAGCCATCATGGAGCAATTGCTTTTCAGCAAGGATAAAACATGATTTGTACTTGAGTGATGCAGTCCATTACAACTTCCAATAGCTAAGAGACACCTAGATGCCTTCCACTCTCATTTTTACATTATCCTGTGCCACTAAGTGAGCCATTAGCTGCAACTCTCACCATTTCATACAATGAAAGCAACCTGCAAGGAAAAACATCAGCTATAGAACAGCAGAATGTCTTCATCCTCAAAAGACATTGCACAACAGAGCAAGATTGGAAAGAGATTATTTAGCACAGAAATCTCTGTAATAATTCCAGTTCAGAGAAGTGTGAATATCTAGGGCAAGTTCGGCAGGTGAGTCTGGTGGAGCTGTTCACTAAAGAGGCTTTGAGTCCTTTTCCATTTGAGCTGATTGGCAAAGCACACACTTACGTAACATGTGGCACAAGAATGTGCAACATTTTTATTTGGTCAATCACAGAAAGACATAAAAAATCTGAAGGTGCTGCAGTGTTGCAAATCGTTTTGTGTAATGGCAGCTATAAAAACTTCAGCTAAGCTGGACAAGCTGAGGAGAGGCTGGCTTACCTCTTCTGCCCCAGTGACAGAATAAGCATGTCCCTTCACCAGCTTCAGACTTGTGATTGCTTCTATTTCTGCTGCATGAGTTATCTGAGGCAAGAAAAATATATCAAATTAGGGCTACATATTGTGTATGGATACATCTCTCACAAGCAGATTAATACGGGAGAAGACATCCAAGGTGATAATGCATAATGAATATTAATACTCCCAATGCAAAGTAAATTAAATAGAGGTGAAAACTGTGGCAAGAGTTCACCTCCAGAACTTCCTGCCTCAAATATACAGTCCTTGCACAGCAGAGACTCAAGAATGTACCATGAAATTTAAATCTAGAGCCAATTTCTAGCTCAGGTAACAGACCCAGTCACCTGCAGAGATGTGCTCACATCAACTCAGCTCCAAGCTGCCTTGGTTGAACTAGGATTTGAAATGAGATTATAGGACAGGATGTAAAAGGTATGGAGTTTCCAAAACATATACAGACTCGTCAGTAACATAGGAGATCTTGTATGATAGGTGTCAATGATTTTTAATTGAAAACAAAGGCAAAATCAGAGTACAGTCTACAACAAAGTACCTCAAATGGTTTGTGTCTAACAGCTCAGTGTCTGGAGCTGACATTACACATCATTTGAATGAGGAAAGATACTGAGACAATGAGAACAGGGTTCGGGAAGACCTGTCCCAAGCTCATGGCTCTAAGCACTTCAACAGGCTGTGTTGTAAAAAGAGAGCTGGTTATTTAGAGTCTTGTCCAACATTTGAACAACTGAAATCAATAAAAGTCTCACATTGACTGTAATTTGCTTTTAATCCAGACCTTCACACCTATCCCTACATGAATCCAAGTATGATATTGACAAAAGCCTGGAGGAGCAAAGAAAGTAAAGCAATGGCAGCTTCTTACATCAATGGAACAGCCGAGCAGTGAGCCAGCCCTCAGAGCCTTCTGGATGATTTGGTACAGGTTTGCCGGAGCCCTCCGCAGGTCATAGGATTCAGAGATGCCTCCAGTAAAATCCTCGAACCCCTCTATAGTGGACCCTCCAGCTAGAGCTTCATAAGAACCATTCAGCCTGCAGGAGAGATGACAGAGCTGTGTGAGGCCACCTCCACTTGCAAGGATAGAATCATAGAAGCCTTAGAGTCGAAAAAGACTCTTAAATGTCACCTTGTCCAATTTCCCTGCAACAAACAGGAACATCTACAGCAGATCAGGTTGCTCAGAGCCCCATTCAGCCTGACCCTGAGTATCTCCAGGAACAGGGCACCAGCCACCACTCAGGGCAACCTGTACTAGTGCCTTACTACCCTCATTCTGAAAGACTTTTTCCTTATAGCCAAACTAAATTTACCCTCTTTAAGTTCAAAACCATTTCTCCTTGTCTTATCACCACAAACTCTTGAATCTGTCCCCTTCTTTCCCGTAGCAGTCCTTTAAATATTGAAAGGAAAGCATGTGTGCTGCAGAAGTAAGGGCTTATAATGTAATATCTATTGGTACATCTGATCATCGTCGCGACCTGGGGCCCCTTGAAACAGAAGCTTGGCAATATCCTGTCTGGACATGTAAAAAGAAATGGTGGAACAGATGATGCCTTCAAATGATGTATCCAATACCCACCACTTCTGCACACCCAGGAGGCACTGCCTCCCATCTAACCACATACTTGGCGTAGGCTTTCTCCAGCAGGGCGCTCCAGAATTCATTGCCTTCCTCTGAATGCACGAAGAGTAGTTCACCATTCTTGGTGGGCAGCCGGTCGTCTACCACCACATCCACCCACTCCCCGTACTGCCAGAACTAATGAGAAGAAGAGAGGAAGAGATGGTCAGGGCTGGTGTGCACACTGTGGCTCTACACTACTATCTTCCTCTGCTGTGTCACTGAGGCAAATTCTTCCCAGTCCTGTGAAATGCTGAGTAGGCTCCTTAACACTGTCAAGGAGTTGCTGATAGGTAACATTAGCAGCAGGTAATGTTCTTGCACATAACACGTGTTCTGTTCTCCATGCATAGCTTACATGATGGAGGGATCAGAAAGCTAGTGAGTATACAGAAAACCTGAAAGTCCACTTCTCTTGTCTACTATCTTTTGAAAAAAAATCATGCCACTGTAAAAATACTGCAAGGAGAAATCACTCAAAAGAGGAAGAACTTGGTAATGCCAGTCTTTTCTGAAAATACTGGGAAATTTATGAGTTGTTAATATGTTATAATGTTAATAGTCATTTTTGCCTGGGCACTTAAAGCGTTTACTCTAGAGTTTATTGTAGCCATGGAGAGAAAGAAAAGAGAATAATTCAGATGACATCCTCTCTTCTGAGCTGAGCAGGAGCATGCGGGGAAAAATACAGATCATGGCCTGAACAAGCAACTACTCTGTGAGAAAGAGCTTTTGTTAGCTTGGGAACACAAGTAAACTGCCTCTACCTGTTGCATGTAGAAGAAACTGGTTTGTGAGAAACTGCTGTAAACTCTGTTCTGCTTTTTTCCCCTCCATCAATGTCACTTACATGTTGTAATTATTAGTACTCAGGTTGCGGGGGGAAAAATAAGCTGCTTTCAGATAAATACTGTGGTTTTCCTCTTTTATTCTCAATACCCTGATCAGACAGTTACCTGAAAATGAAAGATCCCAGCATAGTCCTCCTGGAAACTCTGAGCCTCAGGAACAACACGGTGCAGAACATCTGGATTCAAAGTCAGAGATGCAATGGCAGCCAGGAGCCAGCAGTCACCTGCAAACACACATGATCCACAGTGGAGAAGTTTATTACTAAATAGTGTCTTGTTGAGCTGATTCCTACACCAATATATCACGCTCCCACATAGATCAGAGCACCGGCATAAAGTGCTCTGCAAAGTCCTGCTGGATTCAATGTTGGTTCAGCAATTCATTCTTGTTGTGATGTTTCTCCTTTGCTCATTTTCCACTCACCCAGACCACATAGGTATTGCAGGGCCCCTGTCAAGCTGATCGCAGTGGTAATTTTAATGGTCTAACTTGAGCTTTGCTCTTTTGATTTTTTAATGAAGCTCTGAAAGCAGGCTGTTTTAGCAGAGATTTTTAATACCTACAGGAGACCAAGAGCAGAGCCAAGAAAAAGGAAATTTGGGTTTGTGGGTTGCAAAGCCTGGCTGAGCAGCACAGAGTTAATGACTTGTGCTACCTCAACTAGCCCCAAGCCAATGCACCTGGGAGAAGCAAAGGATTATGTGTGTGTGTGTGTATATATATATATATATATATATATATATATATATATATATATATATATATATACACACACACACACACACATAATGCATGCATGTAGGTAGGTATATATACTTTAGCCCTTTCTTTGAAGGTCTGGACTTGAACCAGCTCTTAGGATTATTACTTCAGCTCTACTTATGAGTCAGATGGAAATAGAAGTGCAGTGGGATATGTGGGAGCACGTGAGCCTTTTCTTTGGCTCACTGCTTGTCCTGGAAATGAGGGAGCCTTACTGGAAGCTGGGTATCTTACAGTTGTTTGCTGAGTAGCTTGCTTGTTGTGTTGGGTAGGTGAAAGCCTTCACTTGCTGATGGGAAACTCAAAGACCCATGGATTTCTTAGTGTGTATTCTTATCACAAAGAGCAGGAAGCACTTCTGTGGGTTCAGTGTTAATTTCTGAGGTCTGCTCTAAGCTTGGAAAACAAAATTTCTCCAAGGGCGCTAAAACTGCCCTGGTTCCTCGCAGGTTGTGTGCCAGGACACAGGGTTTTTTGGGTAAATGCACATACTGCAGAATAAACTGGCATAATAACTCTTACTTTACTGAAAGTAAACTAGTGGAGAAACCAAGCAAGTTTAATCTCTATCATGAATTAATATCTTAAAGTGAGGATTAGCTCTTCGTATTGACTTGGGCTCTTTGTTTCAGTACCACAATTACTATAACTCTAAAGATGATATTCTAGAACTTGCCCAGTACTGGAAAGTACCCAGGTGCCTCCCATGAGCTGAACCAGAAGCAGCTGCTCCCAGTCAGACAGAGGCTTGAGAAAAACCTGTGAAGTTCCCTCCTATAATGACCTATAGCCACCTGAGCTGGCCAATTTGATAGAGGTGCAAAACCCTGATCCAACCAACATGTGGTGCAGGTATTTCCAATGGGAAATGTAGCATTAGTACGTAAAGGCTCCACAGCCTTCCGCAACACTGCCCTGTGCCATCCTGGCTGCCACACTCAGGAAATAACGTTTAAGTTGGAAAGGGATAGTAACTGTCTGATCAGGGTATCGAGAATAAAAGAGGAAAACCATGAGGGGTTACTTGCTTGTCCCAGTCACCTGCATTCCTATCAGAAGAGGTTAAAAAACTTGTGCTACTCCTCCTGCACAAGCAAAGTTTGAAGAGGAACCGTGAGAAAGGATAAATGCTGCTTTGGGGGAAAAAAAAAAAGAAAAAAAGAGGAAGGCTAAATCAGAATAAAAGTATCATGAAGTGGAATTTGTAAAATGTGACTGCTGTGCATATAGAAAAGTCCAATAGCATCAGCATTTAAAATGACTATGACCAAAACACTTTTGACATTCATTTTCACCCCAATCACCTCAAAAATTATTTTGCTTTCAGTAGGAGAGGACTCAGTTCACTGGCTTGGAAGGCTTCTGCTAGCCTTAGGTACCCACATATAAAATAAATAAAACTGGGAGAGTGCAGGGTTGGGGAGAGGGTTGAAAGGATTGAAGAACTTCCTCTCCCAAGGAAACAGATATAGGGAGAAAAAACATGAAACTAAGAATATTCCAACCTGCTTTGTACCCACCTGTCTGAGGCTTTTATTGGTATACAGCTGTGTGCTTTATGCAGTTTTAATTTCTACTTTTCCCTGCAGTTGTAGAAATACCATAGTAAGTCTGAGGAATGGGGTTAGGCCAACAGACCTCATTTTTCCCCACTTCCCCAAGCTTATTTTTCTGCACAGAAGGTTGCTCCCAAGTAGGTGGCAGAGCAGGATTCCTGGTGCCCCGTTGTGTCCCTCTGCCCCAGTGAGACCAGAGGAGCACTGTAGCAGAAAGTTACTGCTTTTCCAAAATGTAACATCCGGAAGGGTTTCTTCATCCTGGTTACAATCTTTACAGCCGGTGGAAGGGAAACTGCTGTGGGATTTGCTGTAGAGGGTATAAGTTTGATGCAAAATTAAACTGAAGAGTCAGTGAAATGAGAGGGGTTTCTTTAAATGTGTTATTTGCTTCTCTGACTCAGAACTGAACAATTTCAGAATCTCATCCCTGAGATGGCAAATGCAGCATGAAATCCTTTACAGCTTTCTTACAGTAAGAATTAACTTCCTAGCATCTGAGAGGTTGAAAGGCATTGGCACTTCTTCCTGCCACAAACACACCATGCAATCTGACTTCCAGGGGAGCATTAGGGGCAAGCTGACTTGGGAAGAATTCTATTGGAAGAGTTGTAGTGGGGAACATAGCCTTAAAACCTGCTTTGCCTGCCCTGAGCAATGCAAAGTCCTATCTCTAAGCTTTACTCAGGGGCCTAATACCTTCTGCTAAGACTGTGGCAGAACAGCTGTTAACTGTGACCCCTGAAGGCAATCAGCTGGGAATTAGCTGCTGTGCAGTAACTTGGTGAAACGGGAAGGTTTGCATGGAATGTTCAGATAGATGGTTTGGAACTGAATTATACACAAGCAACACATTACATTCAGGTTCCTGTGATGCTGGCTTTAACACAAATTAAAGAGAATAGAAGAAGTTGTCCATAAAGAGTAACCAAGATGAAACCTAAATTGCACAAATTGCTTCTTCTCATACACCTCAGTGGAATTCCAGCTTATTAGTAAGTTTTCTCAGCCCTTCTCAATGGATTCCTAGATTTTTTGTTGTCTGGTGTTTTTGTTGTTAAGTACAAGGTTCCATTAAGTGCTGTTTGTTTGGTTTTTTTCCTCTCCAAAGTTCAACTTAGTTTTGCTGACAGCTTTAATAGTTCTGTTTGCAGCTGTACAACATCCCCAGAAAGGCAGCTGATATAGGACCACAAAAACCTGTCCTGATACAGCTACAGGTTATCAGTTTTCAGATTGTGAGGAAAGCATTTCATTCCTTCCCTAAAAAGTGAATTTTGGAAGGGAGAAAGGATAACTTTCTCCCTTCCACTGGGCCCAACTGGCCAGTGAATTAAATATGTAATTAGAATTTATTTCCAATGAAATTATAGTCAGAAAAATGATAGTATCAAAAAGCATTTTTTGCTCACAGCATATACTTGAAGTTGTACCCCTTTAGCTACCTCATCATTTAGCCCTATGAGGGCACATACACTGCTTTCTGCTCAGTCTCATATTTCATGAACATAAGTTTCGGATAAGTGCCAATTACACTGCTTACTGCTGCTACTGCTGAATGTGCTAAAAAGAAACCAACCTGATCCCTGGATCCAAAGCCATCTGTAATGCTTATGAAGTCCAATCTTATTTAATTTGAAGTAATTATGACCTTGAGTTTGTGGTGAAGAAGTTGAACTTGAAAATTAGCAGTACACGTGTTATATGTATACAATTACACACACACAAACACATGCATATCCTGCTTAGAAACATCACTTTGAGTGTTAGGGTACTTGAACTAGAACCTCTTCTTGCTCACATGTGCACTGCATTGCCTCTGTTCTCAGCACCGTAAAGGTGCTTTGTGGTTTACAGACAACCAAGCCACTGCACTGGACACTGAATCCTTGCTGGTCTGGGAGTTGTGCAACTCCTCTGCGTTGAAGTTTACCCAAGTACACTGCAAGCATAGGAGCCATTAACATTAATGTGGAATTTGATTAGTTTTGGTTGCTGCAGAGCAGCACTTGGTTTCTGTTTAGCTACTATCAAAGCATCCACACTCAGAGCATTTGCACTCATCATTGAGTTACTGATAGAGTAAGTTAAGCCAACAGTCAAGGTGCCTGTTTCCAAGATCTAACAGACAGCATAGGAGCATTTCTGGGGTGAATGTTTTCTGGCTTGCTGCTGATTCATCAATGCCAGGTTTCAGATTGGTCTCCAGTCTGCCTGTTACCTTCTCAATCTGCTTGAGAGATATGACACATACAAGGCACCTGTGAGGGATCCTCAGAGGGAAAGCCTTGGCGGCAGCCATGTTGACTACACAGGACCTATGCTGGCAGCCCAGACATGTTCTAAGACTTCAGAACAAGAGCTGCCCTGTGAATATAACTGGTCCGGATCCGGAAAACTATTAAATGAAGAGGCTTTTGTTAAGTTAAATTTATGCCACTTCTTTCTCAAGGCCTTCAGCAAACAGATCTGTGGTTAACTTATTCACATAGCTGCAAGGAAACTTCATAAGTCACCTCTAATAATGAAGTCTGTGAGCGCATTTCAAGTTGCTACTAGGCAATCAAAAACCTATGGTTCAAAGTACGCTTAAAATATTTCAGGTCTTTCAAGTTTCCATCAAACTTCCCAAGCTGATATTCATCTAGCCTAGGCTGTTGTCAAAGAAATAAGTTTAATGGAGTGAGACTGACTCTGGGTTTTCTTGTTCCTTTTGTTCACGTAAACCCAGACCTGCAGTGTTATTTTTAAAAGAAAAGGAACATGTCTCAGAAAATTATTAAAAGTAGGCTCTATTTCCCTAAAGGACTTGTTAACAGGTCACATACGAGGCTTATGTAAATATGTAATCAGGGTCTGTTTCAATAGAAGGGTTTCACATGACAGCTTTAATAACAACTACTTTGATATTCAAGGTATTGGATCAAATACCAAGAAAAAAAAAAAAGCATAGCGTGCCTCTGAGATGTAAAGCAAACACCTGAGCATTAAGTTCAGACTGAGGTAAGCCCCACACCTCTGTTCTAAAGTTTGTTTTTGTTAAGGGTCAGCAGGCAGAAGTGATTGCCTTTCAGAAACAAAGGGGGGCTCTATTTGTCCCCTCATTGCTTTTTCTGCCTTTGTGAGAATATGATCTCTTAAAATGGTTTTACTCCTTTTTAGAGACAAAAAGAAGCTCATAACAAAAGCAGAATCAGATTATGGGGCTTTTTGTCCAAGTTTGGGGGGGTATATTTCAGGACACATGCTTGGGCTCCAGCAGCCAGCCCCCTCCCCCACTTTGGTCCAGACCCATTGCCACCACTATTTGGTGGGATTGGTACTGCCTTGTGAAATGAAAATCCATTTAGCACGAAGGGCTGGAAATCCACAGAGTCATTCAGGAGGTGATGGAAAAAGAATCTGAGGGTATTTGCATCTGGTTTATGGGCTTAAGACAAATAAGCATAGAATCATTAAGGTTGGAAAAGACCTCCAAGATTATATAGCCCAACTGCTGACCAATCAACCACAACCATGCCCATCAAACCATGTCCCTAAACACCATGTCTACGCATTTACTGAACTCCAGAAATTGTGACTCCACCACCTCCCTGGGCAGCCTAAGAGCAGATTCTTCTATCTTATAAGCTGTCAAGGTTTTACTTCAGGTGAACGGTTGTCATGGAAATTTTTTATGCTATTATAGAAACTTTCTGAATTGGAAGTGACAAGAAATGTCACTTTTATTACTTATCTGAACAATTCTTCTAAAATACAGTAAATGATTCCCTGTGCTCTGCTCTGACATCCACCAAATAAATATCCTGGTGCAGATATATGATTGGGCATCTTATTTCCAGCAGCTGGAATATATACCCATGCACCAAGGAATTTCTTAGTGATCACTTTAATAGTGCTATGTTTACAGGACCAGCACTGGTATTATTTATCACCAGCAAGTTGCAGAAATTGTTTGAATCTCATCTGCAAAGTGGATGGCATAGAAGAGCAGTGAGGTCAGGAGTGCTGCAGTAAGCAGCACAGAAGGGAGACAAGCTGATTTTTCCATGTCTCATCTATCAAATTCTCATTATAAGAGTTTCAGCCTTTTTGCCTCTATATGCAGTCAGGAGAGGCTGCTGCTGCTGCCTTCTGCAGCTGGATCTTATCAGCTGGGTGGGCAGGAAGAGGCCAATGCATTAGCTACCAGAGAGGAGATAAACTCTATTTGCATAGCAACTTTGCTTAAATGATGGCAAGCACTAGAGAAAAAATGGGTAGAAAGGATGGCTTTACTGTGATGGGTCCAGGAGAGAATGACTGCTGTCTGAGACATCCCATCAGCTTCAGGCCCCAGTTCAACAGAGCCAGGCACCACTGCCTTTTCCAGTGGTGTTTTTCCATACTGTGTCCAGTCACTTCTTGCAGCTCTACACTGAATGCCAAACAAACAGAAAGAACATTCAGCAAAAAGGACTTGGAGAAAGTTGCCTGTGGTGGATTTTTCACTGAGAGCGTTGTGAGGTGCTGGCACAGGCTGCCCAAAGCACTTGTGGATGCTCTATCCCAAGAGGTGTTCAAGGCCACATTGAATGGGGCCCTGGGCAGCCTGGTCTAGTGACTGATATAGGAACTGACAACCCTGCCTGCAGCAGGGACTTGGAATTAGGTGATCTTTGAAGTCCCTTCCCACACAAGCTATTCTATGATGACCTGAATGAAACACATCAGCTTCGTAGTATATTTTCATGTATTCCTTGTTCCTAACTCAGGGACCACCTCTCTTGGCATGAAATGGCAAGTCACAATCCCAGTCCCTGTGCCTAGCCAGTTCCTACTTCATACCTCGGTGTATAGCAAAAGATGATGATGATGATGATAGTTCCTTCAGATGGGATACAGGTACTACTGAGCAATAATAAAGAAAGGTAATAAATAAAGTAGGTAATAAAGAAAGAAAATTGACTCACCTCTTCCAAAAACCAACAACAGCTCAAGAGGAGTGCAATCTCTACCCAGAAAGATACTGCTTCCTTGGCTGCTAACCTTTAAATGAGGCTGAGGAAGGGTGGATCCAGGCTCTACCTCTGCTGTTCACACAGTGCATTGCTTGCACCTGAGCTCCATGGGTTAGGCATGCCTTCTCACCTGGAGCTCAACCATTGGCTCAGGCTGTGACCTGTCAATTCCACTGCACTGGGGGACCAGGTGTTTTCATTATTTTTTTTCCTTCATATTTTTATTTTTCTTTAAACTGGGATTAGGTCTTGCTCAGCCTCCTAAGTAAAAATCCTCTATGATCAGGCTAGAGGATAAAACTTTCTCAGTGTCCCTTGACTCTCAGAAGAGACTCTTACTGGGATGAGGAATTTTAATTTAAGCTTCTTGTTTTTGAACAAAAGAAAAAAAGAAGAAGGGAAAAAAGATGAAGAAAAACAAAATGCAGAAGTGTTGTATTTACCCAGCTCTCCTTGGCAAACATCTGTCCGAGTAGCTCCTCCGACTATGAACTGAGGATTGTCACATAAGTCCTGAAAAGACATGTTTTCAAAGTCACCCTCCCTGGTCTGAAATGTTCTCTTTTTTTGTTAATTGTTCCAACGGGAAAGTTCAAAAAATATTAAATGCATATAGTTGTATTAAGGAGAAGCTTCCCCTTTCTCCCAAGCATTCCCCCAGGGGCAGCAATGGACATCCTTTAGGGAGACCAAATTCTTGCCTGCTCTCCCGGTAGCTGCCTGTGAGCGTGCCTGTGTCACTGGGCCATGGAGGCAGGGGCAGCCCAGGACTTCTTTATGTGTGCATGAACAAGAGTCAGACTGTTGATCTCTTTTTGCAGTAGGTGTAATTTCAGCAAGATACTTCTTGCTTCTGTGATTATCCAGCTGTTGGCTGCCTCACAGCTGTCTCGGTGGACAGCAGGTTAGCTACCACATAGAAAAGTTTGTGTCGTGGGATCTTTTTGTTGTTGTTTTGGTGAGTTTTTTTCCCCTCCGAACTGGTGATTTGTCACAGCACCTGCTGGCTGTCAGCTGTATGTGACATATTACATGACATGCTACACATTTAGACAGCTGCTTCTTCTGAGCCACTGCCAAGCACCGCATACACATTTCTCACAACTGCATTTCTAGCTCTTCCTCTTGGAGCATGTCTTAAGTTGATGGTGCTGTTTTCCAGAGACATATAAAACTCAGGGGATTTCACAGTTCTTGCTGCAGAAGTGCCCATTAAGGTGCTGTTTGACCATTGGGCTTACAAGAGTTGAAACTTGGAGTTACTGAATCAGTAAAATTCTTTTTCTATCTTTTTTGGGTAGGTAGGGAGAAAAAAAAAAATAGGCTTTAAATTTTTCCCTCTTGTTGCCTTCCCCGCATCAGACAAAGGTTATTTGTGTTTTTTCTTTTTCTTTTCCTCCATTTTTTCCTTCCTCTTCTATTTCAGAATCATTAAGGTCGGGAAAGACCTCTATCAAGTCCAACCATTGATCCATCGCCACCTTGATGTTCCAGGGAGAGGTAAAATAACGGAGGAAGAGCAAAACACATACAGAAATCAGCGACTGAAAAATGAAACGATAGGAAAATCTTTGAAGCTGTGATTGATTTATATATTTTGATTTTAAGACTTTCAGTGCCTTTTTTTTTTGTTTTTTTGGGGTTTTTTTTGTTTTTTTTTTCTGATGAAAATGACTATTTTTAATGAAAGGCCATTTGCAGGATGTGTATATTTGAGAGATGACTGTTCCAGTCAGGTGCTTCTCAGCTGTTGCAGGTAGAGGAAAGCAAAGCAGAGGGTTTATGGAAGTGTTAACTTAGTTCCCTGAGGTACCCAGTGGAAGGACCATGGATGGACACCTTCACAGGCAATGGTTGGTGCCATTGGGTACCCTATGCTGCACATGGAGAATTTTTGTCCTTCTTGGACTGTGCCCTGAACAGGAATCTCTGGTGAGCTGGGATAGAAAGGGAGGAATCCAATTCCCAATAGTCAGTTATAGGATTCTGTGCTTTAAGAAGAGCTTAGGTAAGGCAGGGTAGAATCAAAAGTGAACGAAACATGAAGGAATAGCAGGCATGCAGCATCACTCTTTTGGCATGGATGTGCTCAGGTGAATGCTAACCACCCAGACCCAACCAAGCATTCCATGACACAGCGCTCTTACCGTGGGCCGCTTCCAGACTATTCCCTGGGTTTTGAAGGAGTAAGGTCCCAGGTCCTGGTATCCCAGCGCAGACGGGCAGGCAGGGAACTCCTCATCCTTGAATAGAATCCCAGTCTGAAGGCACTTCTGCTTCAGTGCCTCGTAGTCTTGGCCCAAGTAGCTGAGGGCATTCCTGCAGGAACCCAGCCCCTCAGCAGCCGCTCGCTCTTGGCACAGCCTAGCTGCCAGCCCAGCCATACTGCCTCCGTCTGTGGGGCCGGAGGAGGTGTATGGAGCAGGTAACCAGGGTGGAGCCTGAGGGGAGGAGGCTCATCAAGTGCAAATATGTACCTGAGACAGCAGGCGGCCAGCCTATGAGTGCAGGCAATGTCTTGTGCCAGTGCCACCTTATTTGCTCAAAAGGTTGTGAACTCCTTGCTCATTTCTAAAGCACATTTCTAATGAGGGGTGAGGGAAAGCAGTGGCTTTGCAGGCACACCTGTCTGCATGTGGAAATCCATTCTGTGCTGGAAATCAGGCTCGGGTGCCAGCTCCAAGAGACCAAGTGAAAATGCTTCAGACCTTTCCTTCTTTCCAAAATCCAGCTTGAAACTGCTGGAGGGCAGAGCATCCACAAAACCTAGGGCTGACACCACCTATATGGTAATGGAGTGCTAAAGCTAGGGAAAAATTGAGGAGAATCAGCACTAAGGACTGTCTTCTGGCTTAGAGAGTCTCCTTTTGGGGGGGTGGAGGGAGAGGGAGGAAGGAAGAAAAAAAGTTGTCTTTGGTACTCTGAAAACAGTGCATGCAATTGCTTGATCAGCAACAAAAGGTGTGAAATTGATAGAACTGGAGATAGTTGTTTGGCCAAACAACCTGCAAAGGGCAAGGATCCCATCCAGCACATGCCGTTGGCAAAAGTGGACAACTGTGCAGCACTATGCATCACCAAAGGGAGGCAAGCTGGTGCCTTTCCCAGCAGTAAAAATTGGATTCTTATCCACCATGCTTCCAGACTTTTGGTGCTCCCTGGATATAAAATGTTTACAACAAAAAAGAATAAAGCCTCAGGTGCAGAAGGCTTTTTGGACATTAAGCAGGTTCTGGTGGTTTCTGTTCTTATTGTTCATCTTGCACTGTCACATGGGTGCACGCCTCCCTGCTGCAGTAGCTGTGGGAATCTCTAGCCCAGAGAAAAGAAGCATGGGCAACTTTCTGCAGAGCAGAGCCCAGCTGCTTTCCAACTCAGTAGTCAGGTTTCCCAAGGAAGGGCCACTGCTTGCTTACCCAGAGCTGGGCAAACAGTTGCTTTGTTTGCAAGAGGACATGGCTGATGACTATCCCTTGGTACATTTAGACAGAAGGTGTGGGGAAAGGAAGAGAGAATTTCTAAGGAAAGAAACCAATTGAGATAAAGAATCCAAACAGAGGCTAGCTGGGTTACTTGTCTGCAAATATTTGAAGAGCAAGAATGTAAAAGAGGAAATGAAATTACCCGGTCAGTCCCAGGTGGGCACTGGTAGGGAAGGCTGGGTGTGGGAATTATTGCACTGTCTACAGAAATGAAATTAGATACTGTTGTAATTGAGTAAAGAAGAGTGGTCAGAATTTAATCTCTGTTATATTTCAGTACTTCTGCGTGTGTTTGTGTACTGAATCAGAATGAAGATTTGAATAATAAGGGGCTGAAGGGAGGGTTTTTTGCTTTTCAGAATGGTTGGTTTTTTTCCTGAAAAATAGACCCATTCAGACGTATCTTCTTTCTCTGATGGTTGGGCTGAATATTTCTTTCATTCTCGCTGCAACATTCTTACACAACATTCTATCCCCTTTTTCTTTGGCTCAGAACCTCTCTTTTGCAGTAACTGCCATAAACTTTGGCAATGCTGTTCCTGAAAAGCAAGGTGCTTTGGTATTTGGGAGTTCCCAATTTGATCCAGAATTCTTTGTGTCCCGCGTTTGGTTTTGGGATATATTTTGGTTTGGGTAACTTTGATATTCTGTGTGCTCTGTAACTCCAGTTGCCACTGGACATGAGAGGGCACAGAAGGGGTGAAACCTTGCACATCCCCAGCATGCTGAAGTGTGAAGTGGAAGAAATCTGATCACATTTTATCTCCGTAAATTGCTGTAAAATGTGCTGTAGGATTTTTTTTTCCTGTCCTTTGCCTTACATTTGGAAAGAGGCTGAGGACATCTTCTCTGATGGAGGTCTGGACCAGGCAGCCACCCAGTGTGTCTCAGTGATCCGTAGGAGAGCACTTTAAATCCATTTCCAAGCTTGATTAGCCCCAGCATGACCTGTTTTGTGTAGAGAGTGATGCTCAAGCACCACCTACAGGATACAAAGAGGAAAAGATCGTGGCTGTACAGTTGACTACACTGACAATTACGCTATGGGGGGAAAAGGTTTTTCATAGACTTCAAATTTGCTACTGGAGTGGTGTTCTCCCTGAAGAGAAATACAAATAAGAAAAAGGAAGAAGAAAAAAAAAAAAAAAAAAAAAAGATAAAACTGAATCTGATTTCTTGTGCTTCTGGAATTTACATATTTTTGTTCATCTCTTCATGATTCCTTCTCCCTTTTCTGATGATGGTGAGAGGGTGAGATAAATGGAGAAGAATAGAATCAACCAGGAAAAGGCATCATCTTGGTTGCAAGGGAGAATGTGGCAATTACATGAAATCGAAACTGTTCCACGTCAGTGGGAATTCTTAGAAGAAAACTGCCAGTAATCTAATGACTCTAGACATTTCTGCTGTGCTGCATTAGAGGGAAATGAAATAGCCCTCCTGCACTGCAGCACTCTGCTAATGAGAATCAAAGCTGCTTATCTGTATTGTAGACCGTAAGCTGTGAAAAGGGATTAGCTTGACTTAAAGAGCTTGCATTCTCCCATTCTGGATGTACAGGCTTCTAGACACCCTTTTATTCTGAAAATTGAGTGACTATTACTAGGCAGACCAGTGTGAGCTATGACATGCCTTCAGTGTTTGTCCATAAGATTATTCTTTAGAAGTCACTGCCCCACAAACGAAACTCCACAATCCCAGGGGATGAGGAGCTGGGAAGAGCATTTCACAAGACTGCCAAAGCCTTGCCAACACCCCTCACTGCGTTGGCTGGGTTTTGTGATGGTGAGGAAATCTCCAGCCCCAAAGGGGAAAGCAAATCCCTGTGTTATGAAACACCAACACTGCTGCCAGCCTTCTACTTTAGGAAGGCATCCTCATGCAGGGGTGCTCTTGGGGAGGAGAGTAGGAACCCAGCATGGCCCCTGGCCAATTGGGAAGACTTTATCTTCTATCCCCACAATATCTGTATATTGTGTATGGCAGAAAGAGCAGCACGAGGGCAGATGAGAATCACAGAACCATGTAAGTTGGAAGGAACCCCAAAGGTAATCTGGTCCAACTGCCCTGCCATGAACAGGGACACCTACAGTTCAATCAGGTGCTCAGGGCCTCGTCCAGCCTGACCTTGAGTGCCTCCACGGACAGGACACCCACCACCTCTTTGGGCAACTTGTGCCAGTGCCTCACCAATACTCCGATTTGTAAAAAACTTGTTCCTTATATCCAATCTAAATCTCCCATCTTTTAGTTTGAAACCATTTCCCCTTGTCCTATCAAAACAGACCCTGCTAATGAGTCTGTCCGCTTCTTTCTTATAGCCCCCCTTTAGAAGAGAGACAGATGCTGTGAGGTGTGAGGAGAAACACAGAGTTGCTCCCAGTTACTGAGTGAGGATGGGGACATAGGGAAAGAAGAGCAAGCACGTCCTACCTGGGACATCCCTGTGGTCCTCTTAGCCTGTCTCACTGCAGGGACTCCAAGAAACCTTTGTTAACTGTCTGCACAGAGAGGCTGTGTAACCTTGTATACATGTGATGTTCTTGATCATTATCCAGGCATAGACTACAGGAACGCTGCCAGCAGCCCCTACAGCAGTCATTAGTAATCCCTTATGGGGCACGGGTAGGTTGCTAAAGAAAACAGCTATTGTATGACAAATCTAACTTAAGCTTCTGCACCTACTGGAAGCTAGCTAGAGGAGTTCGTAAACCAGACTTCGTTTCTAGGCTAGTGAAAACCTCTGCTTTAAACTGACATTAGTTTCCTTCTACTATGGCTCTTGAAAATGAGGTTAGTCTGATCTGTGGCAGCTGTACAGCTCTGATCCACTGTGTGGAGCCAAACCAGTGCCTCTGGAGCAGCTCTGCGGTTACGTGGCTCCCTGCAGGTTACACTGCAGCACCACCCAAAATCCAAACCTTATGTCTGAGAGCACGGTCCAGACACCCCTTGAACTCCCTCTGCCACTGGGGCCGTGCCCACTGCCCTGGGCAGCCTGTTCTGTGCCCACCGCCCTCTGGAGCAGACCCTGTTCCTAACCCCCAGCTGCCCCTCCCCTGACAGTTCCATGCCGTTCCCTCAGGCCCTGTCGCTGTCACACAGAACTCAGCGCTGCCCTTCGCTCCCTGTGAGGAGCTGCAACCGCCATCAGGCCTCTCCTCACTCCTCTGCTCTGCGCTGTGCAAACCCAGCGGCCTCAGCGCTCCTCACACAGGTTGCCTTCAGACCCTTCGCCATCTTTGTTGCCCTCTTTTGGATGCCCAATAACACAGTGGTATCTGTCTTGTGGCACCCAGATCTGCACCTAGTGCAGGAGGAGAGGCTGCACAGAGCAGAGCAGAGCAGGACAAGCCCTCCTTTCACCCGACATCAGCGCTGAGCCAGGGGCAGCCGGGCTGCTGTTGGCCCTTGTAGCTGCCAGGCACATGGCTGCCTCAGGTTGAACTTGCTTGTTTTCCAGTGCAATGGCAATGTTTTGTCCCATAACTGTGTAAGCAGAATGTGTGCTGAGTATAAGCAGAGGAATCATTAATTATTGAAGCTCAAAGCCACCAAGCAAATCTGCAGAGCCCCTCAACACATCGAGGAGCCTTGTCTAGACAGTGAAGGAAATATTTTATGATTCTCAAGGGAAAATCCCCACTTCTCACCACACAACAAAGCCAGGTATTCTACCAGTCTTTTCAAACAACGGCATCGAGTTTAGTTCAGTAGGACGGCTCCGAACGAGCCCTACGAGTGCGTGCAGAGCTCGGGATCCGCTGCCCCAAACGCGGTGGTTCTCCGCGCTGCCGGGCAGCGCTGTGAGTCAGACGTGAAGCACGGCACGAACCGCCCGAGCTCTCGCTGGGAGGACAGCCCCGTTGCAGCGGTGCCAGCGGCACGCAGCCGGAGGCGGCCTTGCAGGGA